AAGGTGATACGTGAATGCAATAAATGAATATGGCAGCTGTGACAGCCGTATTGCCCTGTATTTCTCAGTGCCATGCAAAGAGCCACTTATTTTGTTGCTCCTGCCTGCCATCAATGCCTGCCTACCACTTGACCCCCATCGATACAAACCTATCAAGTAAGGCAGCAGGTGGCAGCAGATGTGAACATATATGCCCCCTGGACTTCCAGAGATCACCCATCCCTACTTTAAAGGGGTGTTGGTAAAGATTGCTTAGATAATCCAGGGGATTATAAAACTCAACTCAAAGGCAACCTCCAAACGTTCTCAGGCTCAGTTGAAAATCTGATCCAGGTTAGAACTCCCAGCTTCTCTCCTTACCTCCCTATTCCCACCAACAGCCCCAGGCTCTGAAAAAAAACTTCCCTCAGTGTCCTCATCATCTAAATGTTTTCCTCCTTAAAGAAACAGCAAATAGGAAGACGAGTTGAAGAAGTGCAGAGGAAGCAGGGGAAAGGATCTGTTTTCCTTTCCCCCTTGCCTTTTGCCATGTCCCATGGGGGCCCCTGCCCTGGTATACTGACTGGCACTGCAGAGGAAGAGAGTAGAGAAGCATATCTCCCTCTTCCTTTGGCCTACATGCCACTGCAGAACTTAACTGTTGCCTAGTTAAGCCAAGGAGAGGATGTCTGTGTCACTGGGGGCCTGACAGTCTCAGGAGCTGAAAACAGACTGACTGGTACAGATGTTCAAAAATTAGGAATCAAGATACTTCATTGAGAAATAATTTGAAACATTTTAACTCTGTTGATACTAGTTAACTTGCATCATTTCAGATCCAGGTAGAGGTGAAGGGGGCCATCATTTATTGTGGCTGCAAGAGAGTGTTTTCTATTCATTAAAAGATATAATGAACTTCAGATATTTAACAGCACAATCCATATGCCTTGCAGGTAGTTTCCATTAGGGATATGCACTATCTGCAGAGAAATGTGTAAAATAGACCAAATCAGGAGTATCTGTGCATTTCTAGGTCGATCGTGGGTCAGAGCAAAGAGCCCAGAAGTGCACTGGAGAGGAGAGGCATCCACTGTGGATCCCTCATGTTAAATATGGTATATATTCAGTTCAAAATGATAAAATAAAATAAAAATGATAGGTTATAAATGACAAAAAGAGAAACTAAAGAAGAAACTGAGATGGTACTAAGGAAGAAGGAGAGCACACTCTACATTAGAAATGAAGCAATGTTGCCTTTCCTGCTGTATTAAACCATTGACACTGATGGTTTAGAGACTTGTTTTTTCCGCTATCCTCATGGTGCATGACCCCTTGCGCCTGCAGCTGTGGCAGAAGGTGAGCATAGCATCACTAGTTTCAAATCCAGTACATGGGAGGAAGAAGAAAGCAGAGGAGAGAAAAAGGATGGGAAGTGCAGAGAGAGAGAAATGAACCTTCTACCCCCCAGAAATACCTGCTTACTGTTTTGTAAGTTTGGGGAAGAGAGAGCTGTGAAAGGGAACAGGATGAAGCAAAACTCTGGGAAGTGCAAAGGAGAAGCAGACTTCTTGTGTTGCCTTCTAAGAAGGAATCAACAAGGACCATGGCCATGGCTCTTTTAAAGATCCCCACTCACTCACTTCCCTGTGGCTGGCTTAGGAAGCTGCTCTGCTTCCTGGAAAAACTGGGATTTCTCCTGACAACTGCATACAGAAAGGGGGGAAAGCACATTCAGACTGCTGCTGTCCTGGCCAGAAACCTCTTCTGTCCTCTCTGTACCTCAGAGCCTGCTATCCTGATGCAGGTGCATCATTTGCTATGAACTGCCCTTGTTGTTTACATTTCCCCATTTACAAGAATGGGCTCTTCATGGTGAACAAATATCCTCATGGACTCAGACAGAGATAGGATCAGAAGACCTGCAAAAGGGCACAGAGTAGTTGCTGCACCAACCAGCGTGCCCATATTCAGGCATGGACTAGATGGAGGGGCGGGGGGAGAGAGTGCATTTCCAACTATAAAATGAAATTAAAATTTTATTTAAAAAAACAGAGCAGAGAGTGAGGTGGTCATGAAAGAGGCTATGGATTTATGGGGGAGACAGGGCAAATTGGTTCTGTTTGTTTTTGTGCCTAAGTGTTTTTCTTGAAATAAAAGTAAATAAAACCTGTGATGCTGATCTTTGGCTTTCTCATCAAGACCTTCAGGAGGAGAGACAATAATCCGTTTTCCTTCTCCCTTCCCTTTTCCCCTGTGTATCAACATATGTTCCGGTGCAGCAAGGAGGCCTGGCCTGAGCATATGCTGACACAAATGACGGCTGATAAGGCAATGATACGATTAAGCTGCTCGGGGGACTAGCAATAACTCTTTATCGCAAGGCCAGCTGTCATATCAGTTTTATTAACCCACTAAATCACATTTAATAAATAAGATAATGCCTTTCAGAAATGAGGGAGGGAAGTTAAGATTTAGCATTGATCAAAGTCTACAAAGAAATTAAACTGTAACTTGAGCTCAAACAGCCCATGGTGCGTGTACTCCGTGACACATACATATATGAAGGGGGCTCACAGCTGCACCGTTCTCCCTTGGCCCTGACCCAAAGAATGTGAGCTGCGCCTAAATCCTTTGACTTAAATTTGGTGCAACTAATGTATTGGCAACATAGGTTTCAACAGGTTTTACCTAAAACTAGCTTCCTCTGTACACTGTTCTGATATTTCTGCATACTACCGATGTTACTCATTTAGTTTCTATAACCCCATTTTTAGATAGGATTCTCGTTTTAGTTATCTGTTTTTGTGGCTGATGGACACAGCTTTTAAAGATCTGTACATCCTCTTTGAAAGGCCCAAAATAAAATTGAGCTGAAACACATTAGGTTTACCTTGGAATAAAATAAACACACTTTTTCTACATCTTAACGGATGTTCTCTCTTTATCTGACCCCTTTCAGAAAGAAGTCTTGATACTTCACCCTTTTTTCACTGAAGGAGAACAAACGCTTCTTAGTAGACTCTTTGTCTACTGAGGTTACAGGTCAGTCATGTTCAACTGGCACCTCTCAGATTTATTTGTCACCCCTCAACTGGATTTCAGTTGTAATGGACCCACTCTTTCCATTTTTATAGAGAAGTACCAGGCTCCAGTGAAATTCCTTGCAGAGAAAGCATTGAAGCCTCCATTCCAGTTCTTTCTTTCCTCTTTAGCTCATCTGAATCATACATATCCTCATCCCCTTAACATAGAATTGGTGCATCAGTCTGTCCCACATGGACTGGCCAAATGCTTTTGAGGGATGCTGGGGGCGACTGGCCTTCAAACTTTTCTTTCTGTCAGCTTTTTTTCTTTTGTTAAGAGCCCCAGTTTTTACTGTTTATTCCCTAAGGCAGAGCATTCTTGAATTACTCAGTGCCTCATTACTGTTCTTCTTTTCCCAATCAGAGTAAAAGGTCATTGCCATATTAATTTTAATTTTATAATTCAATTTATTTATTTATTTGATTTATATACTGCCCATCTGGCAGCCAAGGCCACTCTGGGTGGTTTACAACAAATAACATAAAACAACAAAGTAACAAAATAGCACATAACAACATCAATACAGAGGGGTGAAAAATCAAAAATCATAAAGTGCAGTGAGGATAAAATTACAATACACTAAATGCAATTAAAAACATAGAAAAATATTTCATAATTGCAAACCAGCCCACATCCCTTTTAAACATGGGATTGTAGATACAAATGGGGAACCACACTTTAACAGTGTTACCCGATCCACACATACCCAGAAGTGTGTCCCATTGAATTCCATGGGACAGACTCCCAGGGAAGAGTGCATATGACTGCAGTCTAAAATGTCTACCTAGAAAACAGGAAATTACTAAATAAAAGAAAGTTAACAATACCACAGCCACAGAGGTTGAACAGGAAAGAGTAAGTAAAGTTAAGTAAAGAGGATCTTCACTGGAGGGGGTTTGTGGGAGAGGGAGTTTTTTTATTGAATGGGACTTGTTTCTGAGCAAACAATAGGCCAATGTGAAAGAGCAAGATCATGACTCTGCCCACTCTAGATACACTGGAATTGGAACCATGTGACAGGGTCCTCTGTCCCACCTGCAGACTAGCTAAAGGGGTGTGCTGGACAAACTATGTGGAACACTTCGCTCCATTCTTCAAGGGAGGAGAAGAGCTAGTGGATGCCCCTCCCACCTGATATTGTTGTCTCATTCAGCTTAATTGATGAAATCTATAGGGGGATCATTCACATACCACCTCCACTGATTCAACTTTCTTCTGCCTCTTGCAGCAACTTCTTGGGCTTCGTTTTTCATGCTCTTCAGGAGGTTCTCCCTTTCGGGGAGTTGCAGGGCAAGAAGAAGGAGAGACTGGAAAAGTCCCTTTCTATTGACTTTATCTGATTCTCAGCATGCAAGATGGTTAAGACATCCTTCATTTTGCATCCTGAGAATCATTTGTTTTCTCTAAAGACTATTTTGCTGGTCTACAAACTACTTTCCATTATATGCAGAACATCCAATTGTCTGAATAAACATTTTGTGGCTTCATGTAGACGTTTACAGATTTAAAAATCACAGTTTATAAAATCTAGATATTGATTATGACTTACTTTGAATGGCCTCTTGTGCCAAGCCGCCTTGTAGTGAGAAGAGGAAATTTCTGGCGAATAGTCTAAAGGGAAATATCAAATATTAGATGCAGAGCACCACTAAGTTCAACATGCAAATACTAACCATTTTCTGTGCACTCATAAAAGAAGCTTGCTGCTGTTATTAAGGAGTTTCATTTTAGCCCCATAACAATTCTTCTCTGGCCAGAATCCTATTGATAGTCCCAGATACAGGACACCTATTGTATCAATGGGATTAACACATGGGTTGGCTCACAGTTCAACAAATGATTCAATGGATCTACTCTAGATGGGAGCAGCAATAGAAGTTAGGACACATTGTTTCAAAGTAGCCCTATGGAGTGGAAAAGTTTTCCATACTCCTGATATGAAATGTTTCAATTTAAATTAATCCATAACAGGTTAACTGTTCAATTTTTAATTGACTTAACACTTTTCAAAAGTACATTCTATTCAATATAATTATTTACACTACCAGCAGATGACAGTTGTGACTGCTTCCACCCCTCGTATAGATGGGAACACCTCCTCTAAGTCTGAGCCTGCTGTTACGCCTATGTGCACTCCCATTAAATAGCTACTGTAATTAAAGTGAAAACGTATGCAAATGTATCAATCCATAAAGACTCATTTGACCAATTAACATTTCTTTCATCAGGAAATCACCACATAGACTCGCCAAGTATAGCAGAAAAGTTGGTTGTGTAACACAATGTTTCTGTTCCACACTCTAGGCCACCTACTCATGCCTTTTATGCAAGACATGGATAATAACTATGTGCCATCAGGTTAACGCCAACTTACGGTGTCCCTTTCCAGGGTTTCCTAAGTATGCAGTACTCAGAAGTGATTTATGATTGCCTTCTTCCGGGGGCATTCTGGGACCATGTTACTTGCCCCTAACCACCTAGGCATAGTGTGGAATTTAACCCCTGTGCTCCATCTCACCAAGCTATCTCGCCAGCTTTCAGAAGACTTTAACCCATCCCAATTTCCTCTCCTCACTACTGGTTTCCATACCATTCCCAACAATTAGTCAACACTCGATGCCCATAGAATTCTAGGCCCATCTCTTAAGATATTCTAACGACTGAACCAGATATTTAAGGAAATGTGGCGTTCTTCAGATGAAGCCATTTTCTTTTCCACAACAGAATTTCCTCAGAGGCATGCATTTGGCAGTTAGGATCTGCCAGTTAAGCTCATATTTGCATTTCAATCTCATTGGTTGAGAGAATGCAACTTCTAAGAACATGATAAGCCAATTGTTCAGTTTGACCCTGATAATTTTTAGTACTTCAGCAAATGTGGGCTTTCTTTAAGCCTCTGATTGTTTTCATCTGATGCATGGATGGTGCTCTTTTAGGTTCATAAGGACCCACACTCAGTATCTCCCAGACTACTCAAATAAATGAGGCTGCATAGAGTAGTAAAAAAAGAATTGGCACTGAACGGGATTAGTTTTAATTTATGCCTAAATACTAACTTAACCCCTGGAACTACACCTCAGTACCCTAACTTATTTATGATTAAAATCCTTCTGGTGTAGTGGATAAACTGCAGTACTGCAACCAAAATTCTGCTCATGACACGGTTCAATCCCAGGTAGCCAGCCTGAGGTTGACACAGCCTTCCAACCTTCTAAGGTTGGTAAATTGAATATCCAGCTTGCGGGGGGGGGGAACGTGTACCCTGCATAATTAAACTGTAAACTGTCAGGAGAGTTTGTTGTTAATGTTGTTGTTGTTGTTGTTGTTGTTGTTGTTGTTTATAAAAATATATTTGTTCATTAGTAATTTGTCAGAATTAGAATTGAAATATATCCCTAAATCCATTGAAGCCCACAGCCATGCCTCTGTTCTTCCCAAAGGATATTAAAAAAGGAGAATTAGCTCCTTGAATCTTATTATTTCTTCTTTGCGAGATGCAAGAGGTCAAGACCCAGGCTTCTAACATTGCAATGGTGTTGCAATGTACGTTGAAAGATAATTGGCTTACATTACAGGGATGTGTCTATTTTACATTATGAACATTTATATCTACTTATCAGAATTAGAAATTAACTACCACCAGAAATAAACGAGGCATATCCACATTCCATCATGATTGTTACAGAATGGTTGATAGCTCTCCTCCTTAATGACAGAATTGTAAGTGTGATAGGTACTGTACTTTTATAACTCCAGTGGGTACATGTCCTCACTCCTGTGTACCATGGGAGAGCACCCTTCTGCTATCTGATGATTTTTTAAAAAAATAGTGACTAAAAACAAATTTCTGCTCCCTTTCAATAATTGGAAAATATGGTAACAAACTTTGGGGGCAAGGATTTGGAAATACAACTGTAAACAAATTACTTGTTGAAAGTAATATTTCACACTCTGGTTTAGCTGTTGTGGCTTTCCCCAGAGGACCAAAAAATGCAATTTGATGGAGATTCAAATATTTGTGTTCTATCTCTCTGATTACTCATCCCAGAACAACAGTTGCTGCAGCTTCCAACAGAAACTGAATAACTACCGGGCCAGTTGAAATCAGCAGTAGAACTGTGTCCAGAAGATTCACAGCTATTTCCACATTGTTCTTCAGGTTTTTCCACATTATGTAGCTTAGTTTTTAAAAACCTATGTGCTTAAAATTAGAGATGCACAGATTGGTGTTTTTAGAATATGACTCAGAATTCTAGGAGTTATAGTTCAAAGCCACATATTTGCACATCTTTGCTTACATTTCACATCTGATCCTTAAAGTGCATTCTTCCACTTTTTAAGACATATTAGCAGGAATCAAATAACACTGAGAACCACTAGATAGAAGAAAAGCCTTTTAGCTATCGGCGTGATGCTGCCCTGGAAGCCTCCAGAAGGCCAAATAAACTTAACTGCTGCCATTTGGAGTATATGCTTTGGTTTTGAAACACGGTTGTTCAACTTGGCCAACCAATTTACTTAATAGCTGATGGAGACAAACAATCCCAATGCTGAAAATGAACCCAAAAGGTATGTTGATGCTCAGTCCTCTCCCCTCTCCATCAGCAGCAGTTTAACTAATCAGGTTTGGTTTTTTTTTCAAAGCCACTCCCTCAATTGACTTGCAGTGGAGCAAGTCTGCATGAGACAAGCTGATAGAAGCCCCTTCCTCTGTAGGCCTTGCGGCCCAGCGGCCAAACCAGAACAAATAGTGGAGCCGGAAAGAAGAGAAGTTAACATAAAAAGATAATCCCCCTCTTTCCAAAGCTTAGGAAAGGAAGTTCCCTTTTCTAAAATAAATCTTTGAGGTTAATTCTCTCCCCTTGGTACTGAATGTCAGGGGGAGAGAAAAACTCCCAAGTTTCATTAAACTAATGTGTTTCCACTCTCAAAGGCAACTAGAAGAGATCATGGATGTTTTAAAAAGCTGATCTCCCAAGCTTTCTTGGTAATTCATTTCTCTAGTGCTAACAGTTTGGATTTGATTTGGAAAGCCCACCTCTCACCTTGATTAAATGATGCCATCATTAAAGAGCAGGAGTGGATGGTTAGGGTAGGCGGAAGGATAAAGTCTAAAGGCAACCTTATTCTCCCAGACTCTTACTTTCATTAACCATGCCCTGTTCCCACCATCGATGGAACAGAAGTTACATTCCTTTTAATTTTACAAACACAGCATTTGCTTTCCTGTATTCTGTCTCTCTTAAAGTAAAGGGTTTGCCTTGCAAAAACCCACAGACTTGCTTTTGGTATTCTTTCTCAATCTGATCTTTCAAGACAAAGAGTCTTATATATGTCCAATTGGTAGCCAGAGTTCAAAATCACCTTTAAGCCGCGGTCACTGAAGGGTTTCTTAGTACTGTTTGCATAGAGCAGAAGCACAGAATCTTAGGCTCTGAGACTGAATTGGGCCCCAAGAGAGCCTCAGATGGGCCCCCTCCTCGTGATAGTCTCCCGTGGGAGGCTTCCCAGGTTTCACATGGGGTTCTCCATTTCCTTCCAGTAACATTTTAGGCCAAGCAGTTTGATTTAGTCCAAGCCTCACCAAGGACTCAAATGCACTCCTCAAGAACATATTGAAAACTAAAGCTGACTGTTGGAATAAAAGAGGCTCTTGGCCCCTAAACAAAGAAATGTGAAGAGCCAATGAGCAAATGATGTTGTTTCTGGGGGACACAGAAGGAGCCTCTCCAAAGAATGTGAGGACCATGAACACATTTGGGGGTCCCCTGGGAACCAGCAGCACCCCGTTGGCTGATCCTTCCATTCCAGAAGCACAAATGGACACACATAGACAAAAGAATGGTCTTGGGGCTTCTTTCAAATGAAATACGGTAAATTAATGGGTCAAATGTGCTATTTACCTTGCCAAATGTTGCTGCACAGGCAGGCTCAAGCTTCTCCTTTCTGCAGAAATCCAGGTAATGGGCATAAAGAATGCACCTTGGTAGACAAACACCTTCACAGACAATATAGTTTTCTTCCAGCCTGCCCATGAACAATGAGATGAGGACAAGAAAAGAAAGGGAAAACATTGTGCTGTCTTATATCCAACTTATATCTGAACTTACCCCCGCCCCTTAGGGACATATATACATACACACACACACACACATGACTCATGACTCATGAGGCATAGAACAGATCTTTCTGTAGACATCTACTCATTGACTGCTTGTTAAAGAAGTGCTATACAATTAAAGGCGGTGGCCGATGACTTCTCTTCCCAGCACACAGATGGTTCTTGTTTGCAACTTGTGATTGGAATGATACAGAAACCCCTGTATGCCAGACTGGGTCAGGCATCCTGATTTATTCAAATTTTCCTTCTGCCATCTTCCATTGCTGAACCTACAGCCATGTCGGGCCTGGCAAAGGCAACGCAAGAAGCCCCAAATTGGATTTGGACTGCAGTGATATGGTTAAAGGGGGGAAAAAGGTTTTGCCCGTTGTCTTTCAGTCATTCCCCAGAAGCTGCTACACACCCTGTAAGGGGCATATGGACATATAGGAACCTGGAAAACCATTTTGTACGGCTTCAGAGCACTGATCAACTTCTCTGTACCGTTAGCTTCCTGGCAGCAGCTCTCTGGAATTTCAAGAAGTCTTTCTCAGCACTGCTTGCAGATCCATGGTATGTCCTAGTGATGTCCCACTCAAGTACCAACCAAGCCTGCTTAGTTTCCAAATTCAGACAAGATCAGCTGCATTCAGGGTGCTATTGGTGTTATTAGGTACCCATGTGTAGAAATGTAGCTCAGCTCATATGCCACACATCATTTCTTTCACGTAACATACGGTGGTGCCCCCGCATTGTGATGATAATCCATTCCATAGAAATAGCTGTTTAGCTAAAACATCATCTTGCGAAAACCGTTTCCCCATTGGAATGGACTGAAACCCATTTAATGAGTTCCAATGGGGAAAAATCGTATTGTGAAGATCGCCCATAGGGAAGCCATTTTGCGAAGCGCCGATCAGCTGTTAAAATGGCTGCCCTGCATAGCATCAGTCCCCAAAACACCTGTTTTGCGAAGCGCCGATCAGTGTTAAAATCGTTGTCTTGAGATAAGCGGTTTGCGAAGCAGGGACCCAAACATCATCTAGCAAAAATCACCCACTGGAATCACTGTTTTGTGAATCGCTATAGCGATCGCCAAACCTCATTGTCATGCGGATTCGTCCTGCGAGGTCATCGTCTAGTGAGGTACCACTGTACTAGATTGGGTCCATCATGGGCTGAGGCTGGAGGCTAGCTTCCACACTTCTGAGTCCAGACAAGTCTCTTGAGCAGAATTTTATCATATGTTAAAAGTAGTTTCATCTGACTGGATAGTTCAGGAAGATGGCTGCAGGGCAGAGGTTGGGAGTTTCAGTTCCCCACTGTGCCTCCTGGCAGAAGAGCCAACCTATGTGACCTTGAGCAAACTGCAGGGCACCCCCCCAAAAGAAGGGAATGGCAGTCCACTTCTGTGTATTTTCTACCTGGAAAACCCTGAAAAGGGTCACAATGTCAGAATAGAACTGAGGATACATTGTTGTTGTTGTTGTTGTTGTACTGCAAGGCACCCCCCCAAAAGAAGGGAATGGCAGTCCACTTCTGTGTATTTTCTACCTGGAAAACCCTGAAAAGGGTCACAATGTCAGAATAGAACTGAGGATACATTGTTGTTGTTGTTGTTGTTGTTGTTGTTGTTGTTGTTGT